CCTCCTTCATTGCTCTGCTCGATATTCGCTTTCGAAGAACATTACATCACCATCTTCGATGGAACAAAGAAGAAGGAGGGAAATGCAAATTTCAGGATCGAACACCTAACCGACTCGCATTTGGCAATATGTTGGTACGCCAGGGATGGATGGAACGAGACGAAGGCAAGAGTGGGGCTTAGACAATTTATCCCTGGGGTATCCGGAGCAAGAGTTGCGATTTCCAACGAGAGATCGAAGGTCCTCGCTTTCTCCCTCCGTTCGCATGTTTTCGCAAACGAGGCGAAAAAGGATGTGCCACGAACCATCCCACTGATATACTGTGCAACGTTATCCCGGCTATCGATCGAACGCAACATTTAAATGTACGTTTCTTGACGATTCGATCGCTGGGACAATTTGTCTCGTCAAACGTTTGCTACTTAAACACGCGAAGATCTTCGTACAGATTTTCTTCACAAGCAACCTTTGTATGCTAAAAATTATATTCGTCAGTTCATGCTGACCGCCTTCGCGAATTAACAACAAGTAGATTTGCAGAGAGGATTTTTATAAGTATAACTTTTTCAACAAGTATGAAATTTGTATAAGAAAAATGAAAGTACGAGGCATGAGAAGAAATTTATAACACAGATGGTGATTCATATACTATAGTTTGCAGAAAATAGTTTATAAAAATTTACTTTCATCATCACTCGTTTATACTTTAATATAAATGTTTAAGGATACGTTGTATGAAGTATATACAGACAGAATGTTTTGTACATGAAATATTAAAATTTTCCTTCAGTTCGCAAACAAGAATAAAAAAGAAAAAAAAAGAACCGAATCTCCTTCCAGCGAAATTTATCGTTCGAGCGAATTTTTTAATTTTTCATAATTATTGTGAAAGCTATTACATGCACTGTGCTCTGAAATATATTTTACTTTTCACACTAATCGATGCGTTTTAATTTATATTGGAAATCGATTGGATAAAAAATATTTCGACTTCAATTTCGCGGAAATTTAGTGCGCGCATGTAAATGTTATTTTGCAAAATGGAAGATACGTCTACGTAGAAAATTGAAACGGGGAGAAGTTCTCCGCGTTTTTTTTTTTTTTTTT